GGGTCCTTACTACTTGCGTCTGACAATCGAATGAGACCGTGCCGTCGCATGGCGACGTGGACGAGGACGGAATGTAAAAAGTTTCAAAGAGAGGAATTTCAATTTGTGTAATATCAGATATTTCGGATTCTCTGCTGTCCGGCGTAAAAGAGAGAAGAACAAGATGAGAAAGGAGGCGGGAGAGAGAGAGAGAGAGAGAGAGAGAGAGAGAGAGAGAGGTGAAAAAAGGGAAGGAGAGCGTTTAATCAATTAGGTGAACGCGGGGCGCAACGGCGCGAATAACTGCATGGCGAGGAAAAGTTTGGCGTGGAAACGTGCCAATGCCGGCGATCTTCCTCCTCGTTCCCGTTTTATCCCGATTGCCAATCATGAGGCTCGAATGGGAAATTATGTCGAGCGAATAAAGCGAAATATTAAGATGAACGATCCTAATTTCGCACGTGCGCGCGCGCTCGCGCTCGAATGAAACTGTTTCTCGAACGGCGAACGGAGCTCTCGGTTTCTCGTTTCGCGGACGCTTTCCAAGGCGCATTATTCAACGACGTCGCACACGGAGAAATGCTTTCATTCAAGTTAAATACGCGTTTTAATCGCGCGCGCGCGCGGTTACTTCCTTCCTCCGCTCCTTCGACATTCTCGCGGTGTTCTATGAACGCGCGGACTCGTTCAAGCGCGTTCACGCCGCTGGACTGTGGGTACGTTTTGCATTTGACACATGCATAGAATACACACTTGGACGTTGCGACTGTTACGTCACTCACGGTCGACAAACGCCGCTTTCATGTCAAATCGGTTAGTAACGCGACTGTCGAGATAGAGAGAGAGAGAGAGAGAGAGAAAGATCGGTTATTATTTCGTGCCCTTATTTTAATAGCAGTACAATCGATGTACACACTTCAACCTCATTTAATCTCAAAAATGCTGGAAATATATTGGAGAATAAAAATTTCAGCACGGAAACATTAAATTAAAATTAACTAAATGTATACAAAGCAAATTAATGTGACAATTTATTAATGCCTAAGAACAGGAATGCTATACGCAGATTTAGTTTGGAATTGTCTGCGTTGCGTCAACAGATTGAATTTGTTATAATGGCTCGAAACTCGTTCCTTTGTCCGAGTTTTGAAAATGGATTTTGCGTTTATGACACCTCCGTCCGTAGAAATCTGCCCGGGGACGCGGCGTTTTATTCGTATTAGTTAATGCCGGGCATAAAGTTCCGCGTTTACGGCTCACGGGCGAGGAGAGACGTTGAGACTTAGACAATTTTATCTCGATGCGTAACGAGGTTCGCGGCGCGCGCGCAAGGATATAGTCGACGGTATATCCGCGGAAATATCCGTGCAGGATTCCCGTACGTCCGAGGTCTCTCGCAGTTTCTTGGCGCATTCACTGCATATGCGCCCGCTTGTGTATGTACGTGCACACGTACACACATACACGTATGTGTACACGCTCCGTGTGTACCTGCAGCGGCGCGAGAGCGTCACGGAAAGGCGAAAAATACTTTTCGAATAAATTGTCGCGCAGGAATTCCACGGCGATGCGCCGAACAAAACGCTGCCACGCTGTGCGGGCACGTATATATATATGTATGTACGTATATATATATATATATATATATATGTGTATAAGCGAGAGGGTAGAAAACGGAAAAGGAAGGTTGGTCGGTCGGTTGGTCGGTTGGCCGCTCGGTTTCGCTCCGGACGCCACGCCGCCGGAGGGTGCACGGTGCGCGTCTCTCGTAAAAATGCAAACTTCTCGCTTCGGCGTCGATGCCCGGGCGCGGAGAGGAGTCGCCGGTGCCGGTCGTTGCGCGATCCGATGTTGTCGCTTCGCCTGCGCCACGTCCAAAAAGTTGGACGTGGATTGTGAAAACGGGGGAAAAGAAGGAAAAAGACGGGCAGCCGGCGCGAGAGCGAGCACGCGAGAGGGTGCGAGGGCGCGAGGGAGGGAGGGAGGGAGGGAGGAAAAAAGAGGCGAGAGAAAAGTCGGACGACGGCGGTAAAGTCACCCTATGAGAGAAACTCGCGGGAAGTTCGCTCTGTACGTCGTTGCAACGCGGGTGGCCGGGGCTGCTTGTGCTTCGGAGAAGGAGAAGAGGGAAAAAAAAGAGAAAGTGAGAGAAAGAGAAAGAGAGCGGAGGGAGGGAGTAAGTGGATCGCGAGGGGCGTTTTCCTGATTTTTCAAGGGGAGAGGAGGAACCGGAAAAGACCCGGCTCTGGTTACTGAGGACAGTTACCGAGAATACAATATCGCTCACGTACTTGGCGGCTCGGAAATATCGATACTTCCAGCGTCTCGAGCCATCCTTCGGTTCCTCCTCTCGTTCGTCCCTCTTCTTTCATTTATATTGTTTTAAATAATACTTTATCATCGTACTATTTGTTATCTAGTTCATATTCAATATTTTAAATTGCTATTTCTGCTAAATTGCTATTGATTTCTTTTATTTCAATTAATGTGTGTAAAAATTGTATAAACATTTCCGACGTTTTCGAATTTATAGATATTTTAATGTATTCTACAGCATGAAAATATACTTTCCTCTAGTCTTACTATTTATTATTATACCGTATCCCTTAAATTATCGAACTATTATTGATTTTTTTATTTTAATTAATGTATAAAAATTAAATGTAGAGTTATATATCTAGCTGTGTGAATTATTTTGTAGTTCTACAGCATGAAAATATACTTTCCTCTATTTTTACTATTTATTATCGTACTGTTTTTAGTTTCTCTAAAATTGCTAAACTGCTATTGATTTTTAAAATTTAATTAATGTACATAAAAATTACACGGAAAGACCGATTTTGTTGAAAGATCTAAAAATTTTACTAAAAACAGATCTGAAAATAATTTTTTATTGAATCATTAAAATAATTTGTTGGAATGCAGCATAAAAATGTACTTTCCTCTGTTCTTTCTGATTGTTCATATAGTATACAAAAGAACGAGTGAGCGAAAGGATGTTCCACGCCCTGCGTGGAATGAACGATGATTGAATGGAGAAACGCAGAATTGCCTCGGGCAAATCGAAAGTAGCAATAATCTTGGAAAGCAATTAGCAGTCGAAGGGGGTCGACGAAAACATGAGAAATCTGTTTCGAGTTGATTATTTTCTTACAGACCGCTCTCGATGTATGTCGTTTGGCGTGGTTTACCGCGTCCTCGGTTTGTTAATCGACCGACTGCAATCGAGACGAGAATTACAACGATCCGTGATAATCGTTTTCGCATGCAGTTAACTGCCGCGTCTGCAAGGGGGAGGACAATATCCGCACGACGATATTTCTTGTCGAAGGATGAGATTTGTAAACCTCATCTCCTTTAGTCATCTTCGGTTAACGTCGACCGAAGTAACTATTAAGTTCGAAGTAATTGTTATTTAAATTCAATTCCATACACTTGTGCTGCATATGTGTGTGTTCCATTTTAATTAAAACAGCCAATTTTTTTCCGAAATTATTGACGATGCAAAAAAATGTTCCCCAGATGACAATAGAATGGTTTCGAGGGGACGTATTTTGGTCACGTTGCTTTTTTTCTAGGTGAAGGTACTAAAAAGAGATAAAATCCATCTCTTTTTTTTGGAGTAGACATATTTTATGTCGAAATACGGCATGATGAAAGTATGAAATATTTCGTGAAATATTGATTTTTCGATAACTTTACCTTAATAATTTTATATGCAGAATAATTAGAGAAATATATTATGTAAAAAAAATTATATAATTCCATATATTTATAAATAACCAATAATGTCTTTGCGAGCCAACACGGATGTTGGTGTGAAATAATTTTTACTATTACAACATCAAGCCACATACAAACTGTGCGCCGCATAAACTGTCGGTCGTGGAACACAGTTCTTACATGAGGCCAGAATCAATCCACTGTAACGAATTAAATTATCGAACAATTTAATCATTTCAATGCTAATAAGCATCTATTAAGAATCTTCTTCCCTCAAATCTGTAAAGAATTTATTACGAAAAATATCACCCCTGCTCAACTTCCTCTGGAGATCTTCAGGCTGGGAGCAGGGGTGATATTTTTCGTAATAAATTCTTTACAGATTTGAGGGGAAAAGATTCTTAATACATGCTTATTAGCATCGAAATTATTAAATTGTTCGACAATTTAATTCGTTACAGTGAATTCTGGCCTCATGTAAGAACTGTGTTTCAAGACCGACAGTTTATACGGCGCACAATTTGTATGTGACTTGATATTGTAACAGTAAAAATTGTTACACACCATCATCCGTGTCGACTCGCAAAGGTATTATGGGTTGTTTATGATTATTCATTATACGAGCTTCAATTTCTTCAAGTTAAATTCTTATATAATTCCATTTTAAAAAAGTGATTATGATCTTCATATATTTTTAGTACTTCCGTCCTAAAAAAAGAGCCAAAGTACGTCCTCCTTGAAACCGTTCCCCTTTCATCTTTTTGATCTTAAAGAGATATAGCAGACAATCAGATTCTATATAACTTAAGAGTTCTAAGTATATCTTTTCATTTTCATTTTGATTTTGAATATGGAGACATTTGTTCAGAATTCCAAAAACAACATATTCGAAAACGGGTCTATTTGAGTAATTTGACCGGAGTCATTTTTCCATAAGAATCGCGCAAGGTCTTTTGTCAGTGTAACCAAATATTAGCAATACGTAAGTTGCATTAACATATAGGTGTAATCGATAATTTGGCGATATGAATTTCATTATTCCTAATTTCCGAAGAGATGTATAGCGAGTGGAGCAGAGGACGAACCAGATCCATTCGGCAGGTATAGGAGAAATGATGGGAAGAGGGGGGGGGGAGGAGTAACTGCATAAATCGCTCGAAGCCAAAGCGGAGACGTGGCGCTCTCGAAGGCACTTACTCTTAACGCGCTCCAAGTGTTCATAGTTTCCTCCGCGCACGCATCAAGTTATTCCGCCTTAGCGATGTAATGAAGAGGAAAGCGGCGCGCGCGCTACTAACCTGAGGTGGATAGTGATCCGGCAGGGCACGCAGGGCTTCCCTGTACGCCGACAGGGCTCTTTGTAATCTACCCTGATCGGCATACAGCGCGCCTAATTGAAGGAGGGCCTGCACCCTGGCCGCCTCGTGAGCCCTTTTGTCCTTCAGACCGGAGCCATCCAAGGATGCACCGGCGCGCAAAACCGCAGCTGCCTCGGTGCCCCGTCCGACCGAAATCAACGCGGCACCCAGATTCACATAAGCCTCTGCAAAGACAAATGATAAGGATTGTGTGAGCATGCGGTAGATTTAGAGAGAGATCCGTCGATATTCCGTGGATTTAACCTCGGAACCTAGCCTACATATCCGTAGACGAATTCCGAGGTTACATCCTACAGAACATACACTGAAAAAAGTAATCTTGCAATTATAGCGAGAATTATTTAGGTACGAAAAATTAGCTAAAACGGATAAGTGATTAGTAAGCACTGCGATACCACATTTTGTATTTAATCGATATAGATAATAGAGACAAAAATTATATCTGAACTATTTGTAATATTTAGCAAGAAAGTTCCGCTATGATGTTTAATCAGTCCAGACTCCAATCCAGACTCCAGTCATATTTTATTTGTAATTTTTCGTATTTGATTAGGTATGGGATCTATATTTTCTCGTATATATTCTTAGAATATTGCTGCTATAAATTCTACGTATGACAGACAATTTTTTAGCAGATACAAAAAACAGAGATAGTAATTTAAATGTAATATTTAGAATTCTAGTTGGAACAGCGAAACATTTCCCTGAGTGTATCATGTTCTTTTTTTTCATGTATTAAATTTATACGTCTTGCTTATTTTTGTATATATATAATATATATATATATATATATATATATATATGTTTAAATTCAGATATAAATTATTATATAACTCAGTATCAATAGCCGTTCTAAAGTTAAAATGTGAAAATGAATTTTATAATTGATATTCATATTTAATTCTAG